TAACTTCTGACTTCTGATTGGTGGCCCAAAACGAAGGTTACAATAACGTTTGAATTCATCCCAAGACGGTTGAAGCATATCTGTCTCTAGTTGAAGAAACCAAAGTTGTGCATTCCCTTCCAAATGAAAAGAAGCAAGTCCAACTTTTTCTTCCTCTGGGGTTTGTTGGTGTCGAAAGAAGTGGTCACATCTGTTCAACCATCCCAAAGGGTCCCCTTGGCCGGTAAATCTTGGAAAATCCAACTTTGTATACCTAGGAATGATGGAACTTTCTTCTGCACATCTGATTCTGACCCTCCTGCCACTCCACTTTTACCCTTCCAACCCCGATTCTGACTGGTATGTTCAGTTGATTCAGAATCGACCTTCGAATTCGCTAGATCCTTTGTGAGTGCATCTAAGCAAGCATTTATTGCTTCCTGTCTCGCTATATTGGCTGCACGTTCTTCTTGAAACAAGTTCACCAATTGTGCCAGTTGATGTTGAATTTGATCTCCCATAACACCCATCTCTGATACCAACTTGTTATGGTCCCCTGATATGGATCTGGTTATGGGGCACTGTAGTGTGAAATCAAATGTTTTCTTCCTACGACCTATGGTGCTGGTTCGTTAAGAGAGAACCTGCAATCTCTTGAGTTTGAAGTACTCAAAGACTTGGTACTTTCTGCATAACATTTCACTGAATTCAAATACACTAAATACAACACTGGTGGATTAACCACCCATCTGAAAACAAGGAAAATAACTTCCTACTACAACTGAATTGAGAAAGTGGAGGAATAACCTCCTATTTAAAAGCTGTTGTAATCTACTGCGAACAACTAAATAACGTATATGCTAAAGTAATCTACTTTCTAATTTCCTTAAATCTCCCATGTGTAAACCTTTGGTAGACTAAAGGGGTGCTAACATCAACCTTTCATCATTCTAGTTGAATTCGAACCGAATCAGAAACTTGTGAACACGGAAATGCAGTTCGACTAACTACCACTGTCCTTCAATCTTAATAAATACTATCCTTTTTATTGCAATGCGGTACTAAACTTAAACCTTGTTGCTAACTGAAACAATTTTAATCACATCATAAGTAGGTATGTTACTAGGTCAGAGGTTTGAGTTGATATGTCTTGAAAACATCTGGGTCCGAGTTTTCATTGCTTTGCTAGATATCTTAAATATATGTACTCGTTTTAGAAAAGGTACAAAGGACTGAGGAGACTGAATTCGGAGTCTGATTTTAATGTATATTTATCCTATTTAAAGTTATTTATCAGCTTATTGACAATTATGCCACTAAAATTGAAAACCTGATAGATTTATTCATGGTTGCTTTAGAGATAAAGTAAATAGGATATAGTTTTTTATGTTTATCTGTCTCACTGTTTCAGCGAGAAGTTTGTCTTCTGTATTTTATAGGACCTCATTGCTGGATTTGATCAAGAAGCAGCTGCTGTGGTAATGGCACGACAAGTTTCTTTCAAAATGGAAACCGAGGTATCATCCTCTTGGTCTTATTACTGATGATTTAACCTTATATCTGGTTGTATTTTTTGTTTTCTGTCCAAGAAGTTTTGCTTTCTTTACCATGGCTTGCTATCTTGCACTGTTGTTTTTTTACCTTTTGGAAACCCACTTCCACTTTCTTCTGCAGGCTGATTTTGATCCCATCAGATGGCTGGATAAGTCATTGATACACATATGTTCTCGGTTTGGTGACTACCAAAAAGATACTCCATCTTCTTTCACTCTATCTCCTCGTTTTTCAATATTTCCCCAGTTTATATTTCACTTGCGGCGGTCTCAGTTTGTCCAGGTATATTTTCATCTTGATTGTAAACATCAAGCATATTACTTTCTTACATTTCTGTCTCTACCATCATGCTCAATTTTTAAGCAGCAACTCTGGCTCAGGTCTTTGGGAACAGTCCAGATGAGACGGCATATTTTAGAATGATTCTGAACCGGGAAAATGTTGCTAACTCAGTCGTGATGATTCAGCCCTCTTTGATATCTTATTCTTTTCATTCTGGTCCGGAACCAGTCCTCCTTGATGTGGCGGCAATTGCTGCTGATAGAATCCTTCTTCTAGATTCTTATTTTACCATTGTCGTGTTTCATGGATCAACTATTGCTCAATGGAGAAAACTTGGATATCATGAACAGCCTGAACATCAGGTAGCCTTCTTTTCAGTCTGAACTAAACACTAAAGAGTTAAAAACTTTTATCAATTGCTGATTCTAGGATTGTATGTCAAGTAATTTGATCTCAGACTACCTTTCTTTTTGATGCTGGTTTGAATATGATATATAGGATTACCCCACAGTCACACATCACTGGTTGCATACGTGTTCGATGTAATCTTATTTTCACCATCAGACACATGATAATAGTCGGGGGGGGTTGAGTCATTAAAAATCCATAAACCAGCTTTTACTTTTTGTTTGATACAAAAATCAAAGTGAAGTATCAGCAATGATGTGGAAAAGGTGTCATCCTTGTGTTTCCTGACCGACAATTTGCTTTGTAGCCTGCTTTAAACTACTAATCTTATTTCTGAGTCCATTTTGATTCTGGTCCTATTGTCTATGTCATGGTGCACAGAACTCATGATGATTTGGATTTGAGTTTGCTCGTCATTTATGTGACCTTAAATTTACTCTATGGCAGGCATTTGCTGAACTATTAAAATCTCCTAGAGAAGATGCAGAGGCCATTGTTCGTGAAAGATTTCCAGTACCTCGTTTGGTCATTTGTGATCAATATGGATCTCAGGTTACTAACTATGCTTTCTGTCTAGTCCTCCTTAATGTATATATATTTTCTGTTTTTGATGCATGTGCCTTTATTTAGACTTTACAGCAGATGTTGATCTGTAATCTTCAGTTTTGTAGTTCTTTTTTACATATTTGAATTTTTTCTTAAACAGCAAGAGGTTTGTGATATAACATTTTTGTCTGCAATTCATGTTCTGAACAAAATGTTCGGATTGACACTTTGAGTTGATATCTGTGCTAAAATGCCATGTTAAAGATGTTAGCTATCTTCTAACCAAACATGCTTTCTTCCTTTGAAACTTGGCCCAAAAGCTAATCATGTTTCACTTGTACGGAAATAATTTGTTTCTGTTGCTTATTAAGCCGCTCTAGTAGAAAAACTCTGGAAACAATCATCAAACACTTTTTGATGTCTATTCATGAAAAAAAATTGTAGAAAAAAACAGAGTTTTTATCTGGAGCTTTCAGTTTGGCCAAATTTTTACCTGCTTTTGATATATCTTTTCTTCAAGTTGCCTACTGCATTCTTCTCCTTTCTTTGTCGAAAGATCTGGTGGTCATAGTGAAAACTAGATCTGGACATCAAAATATTTGTGTTAGTTGCTCATTCCTGGAAAGAATTCATCATCTTTTTTCCAAAGTTGATATCAACTTGAAGTTATCTTCTGCTTGTATTATATACAATAACTTTCTATGCAGGCCCGTTTTATGCTAGCAAAGTTGAATCCCTCTGCCACATACAACTCTGATGCTCCTCCTATTCCTGGTGGAGATATCATATTCACAGATGACGTTAGTTTTGAGGTTTTCTTGGATCATCTGCAGCGGCTGGCTGTTCATTAGAGTCCATGACACATCTTCAGAGTCTAGCGGAGAATTTTGTAAACTTTTTTCATTTGGATTGATTGTACAGCAAGACAATTTGACATTTAATTTTGAAATCCATTTTTACATGGCTTATTTATTTGCAATATCTTGTAATGCTTCTGTATTATGAACTCTCTGAGGTTTTGATAGACATCAAAGAAAGAAAAAAAAACTTGTAACATTGTGGTGAGAACAAACATCTCTACTGCAAGTGAATTCAGTTTATAATTATAAGGGCCTGAGTTATGTTATAAATTCAAAATTAACTACTTGCACACGACAGTAAGTCGGATAAAATACATTTCTCCTTCTTAAGAGGGTTTTCTCTTACTACAATTTTGCTTACTGTTTTCTTGCTTCTCGTTTTCGTAATTGTTGTTTGAAGTTTCTCTACTACTCCCATTGCCTTCATGATGAATTTATATTAATTTTCTCTTCACTCCTCTTCCAACAAAAGATGTGGAATATTTCATATTGGAGTATTCCTAGAAATTTGGCACTATTCTACTAATTATGAGATTTATATACATACAGCTTTTAATATATTCAACTAATCAAAGTTGGGTTTTGATACGACGCTGTCTCTGCTTTTTTTTTTTTGATAACCGAGAAATATGTTTGTAACCCGCCGTTTGGACCAATATCAAGCTGTTTTTAGTGTTCCCATCACTCATCAGTGCTGCTGTCTACTCTCTCCGATCACTTTAACTATTCATTTCAAATTATTTCTCAAGTTAGTTAAAGATTATGCACCACTTAATATGAATATCATGGTAAAAATATGCATTTCGTTTCAATTTATTTGTCTTACTTTTCTTTTTAGTCCATCACATAAAGAATGCCTAAAAGGTCATAGGTTTTCATTTACTGAATGCAACTCATGGTAGTTGATGGAATTGCTATTGATGTTGGTGAAATATGTGCAGGGCATTGAGAGAGGACGAGTTGAGATTTATGTTGTTCGAGCTCTCCAACAATATTGCCGCATCCATGTCAGATTCTCAAAAAATGCACTACCTTTGGAGTACTCGACATGCACCCATCAACATTTTTGAAGAGTCCGAGCATAGACTGAGATTGCATGCATACACCAAATCGATATCATTACATTGACCATTGATAAGGTGACATTCTTTTTAAAACGAAAATAATGAAAACATAATCTTCTTGAGTTCTTTTTTATTTATCTTACATAATTTTACAGGATGATAGAATTTCTTAAAGCACATAAAAATGTGTGCTTGGGCTAGTTTTGCCACTTTATTTTACAATTGAAATACCAAATTATTAACCAAGCAAAGTGATAAGGAAAAGTTCTATAAATTCTTTATCACTCAAATAGAAATTGTTTCCAAACTATATATCCCCTTTGCTGAGGATGGGGTTCTGATTTCCTTTCTTCAGAACAATAATCTTATACCAGCTCATGAATTTAGCTGTGAACTCTGCAGTGAAAAAAAAGAGTCAATCAACATTGATTCTAAACACATTTCTTGTGTAAATCAGACGTTATATAAACTTGAAGTATGACTTATCGGTGTACTTCTGTACATATGGCCTAAAAGTGAATCTAGAGTGTCAAGAAAGTATAAGCATAGCTGCATAGGTGAAAATATATAATACTAAAAATTTATGTTTGTCCAGGTTTCAAGATGCATGTTATTTACAAAAGATATTGTTACAGTTAACGAAACTTGCAGATGAGAGTAGAGGAGCACACTCATCTTGGATAAATAGATGTAGGACAAGATTTCAACTGGGCAAGTTCCGCACCCATAGAAAATTATGGTGAAATAAGATTCAATAGTTATGATGTCTAGGTTTAGTCCTCCAAGATAATTCAAATGCTTGTATTACCTTCAATTTTCATAAATTTGTGAACAATCTTTTTTACTGCATCGTTATCACTTTTACCCTGATCGTGATCATTTGAATTTATCTGGAAGAAGGAATAATGAAATGTTGAGTTAATTATTTGACTCTATGATAATGTCTTTTAATGGTGAAATGTGTAAACTTCCTTACATTATACTTCATTTTCAGAATGTCCATGTCTTTGTGGAACTGGTCATCCAAATTACTCTTTAGTTCTTCAAACACAGTCTGCTTATCACAGAATGGCGTAAAACGAAGTTAGTGAAAAATTCAAACAAAAGGTATAAGGAGTAAGAAGCTCTTACATTAAAGATGAACTCAGCAGATACATTGTGCTCTATCAAATTCTGCAATTTCCCACGGATATCGTATAGCCTGAGAAAGAAATGAACTCTTGATGTTACTATTCTGAGGGCTGGAAACTCGTAATTGGGGAGTCAAGCAAGAGCCTCAATATGAAATAAATAATGTCCTCATAGTCATAGAAATTTCCTTCCAATGTACTCTTTCCGTTTCATTTTATATGACAGTGTTTGACTTGACAAAAAGTTTAAGGATAAAAGAATGATTTTTGGCATATACCAAAAGCACCCTTGTTAAACATATTGTAACATTTATATGGCTGTAAAATCATGTAAGTTTGAAGAGTTTTGAAATATAGAAAGAGATTATCCTTTTCGAAACAAACTAAAAAAAAAGAGTTAACTTTTTGATGATGTGAAATTATACTCACTGCTTTGGACTTTGCTCTTTAATTATGTTTTTAGCGATCTTTGCAATGTCGTCTTCCCACCCTGTCTTGATTTCTTGATTTTCAGTCAAGGAAGTGCTGATAATAACATATTCTCCTATAGTTAGTGGTGGACAATACAAGAGATGAATCTTTTCGCAAATAGACAATCCAGATAAACGAATGTATAAAATTCTATTCTGTATAAAAGGGTTACTTGAAGTGCCAGGTAGCTTCAAAAGAGCGAATTGCTTGGCGTAGGTTACTTTTAGAGTTACTAGCAATCCTCACTGCCATTTGGTGTGGTAGTTCTATTCCTTCCTGTTGTGCTATGAATTTCAAGACGTCTACAATCTGTCAACAAGAAATGATTTTTCGAGTTAATTTATGCATATTGAATCTCTAAGTATTATACTGATTGTGTAAAATATCTTTTATGTTCTCAATGTATATATTGGAACTGTGTGTCCAAACCTCATCATCTGAAGGTTTTTGAAGATGAAAAACTTTGCAAATAGACTTGATTGGCTGGAGCTTTGTGCTATCGCTGCAGCAAAAGAAAACCTTATAACAACCTTCATATCTCTCTATCATCCATTTGATATATAACAATGCGTCTGTTGATAGCTTGTCTGCCTCACCAAGAATGATAGCTGTGTACATTACAAAATAAAGTGATAACATTATGTCCAATTCTCGGTGCTAGCTAGAAATTGAAAAAAGAAGAAGGCGGTAATACCTTTACAGTTTTCAGGATTTGGAGGTGCAGATCTGCTGGATGATTTGTGCTTTCTCTCCTTGATTAGTTGTACTAGGACATGTTTCTCATAGCCTTTAGTTTCAGAGAGATTTATCTCAAGATGTTTGTTCGATTCCTTCACATTTACTTTGATGCTGGGAACTGATTCTCCCTGAAATGCATTTTGAGAATAAGCTACTTTCACTATCTTCATATATTGAAAGGCCACCAATTTACGGAGCATTTTGTGGCCTCTGAACCTTAGTTTCCGAGTTTTGTATGCCTAACTTATCGAAAGAAATACAATAGAAAGAAAGATGGCAGGGGATTAATACCTTTAAGTGGAACACCTTGCACTTATCTCTTGCCTGTAAAAAAGCAAAGAGATCATCACGAATCATGGAAATGTACGTTTAATTTTCTATTTTGTTAGTGTTTTTTCAGTTGTTATAACAGATATCCTGTCTCATTTTTCAGGTTACTAATTCCACTTGTATGCACAATATTGGTAGTAATCTTTGAGGTGACTTAATACTCTCGTGTTATTCATCGTTCCTCACATCGAGGTTTTATTACTGAAGTGTCAATGCAACACAGTTTTTGTATTGAACTTTTAATATTTTTGTAGCTTTAAAGAGAATCCATAAACATACCTGTACTTTATCATGTCCATAAATTTTACGAAGTAGAGCAAATATCATGGTTCTTTTCCCTACTCCTGGCAGTCCTGCAAATATGAAATGGCGAATACTACCATCTGTTTCTGCCTGCAAAATTTTATAATCGAAAAGGATTGTAGTGTGTTAGTATTCTTTTGCTATCAATAAGGAAAAATCCGAAAAAAAGTTGTTGAAGGATTATTTTCATACCAGAGCCTTCAATTCCAGTGCAATATTTCGATTGCATAGAAAATCTTTAAGAGCATTAGGCCTATACTTGTCAGCCCATGTAAATCTTTTGTCAATCTGTTTTTCAGGAACTGTCATATCTTTCACATTTGTGGTATCTTTTTCATCGTCGACATTTTGAGTTGATGAAGCTGGTAATGGTAGTAGTACTGATTCAATTTCTTCAGCTTGCGATGTTTGTAATATTAATGGAGTTGGTGGTGGAGATGGTAATGACAATTTTATCGGTGATGTTACTGGCCGTGCAGGTGCAGGGGCAGGGGCTGCAGGTAGTAGTACTATATTATTTGTTTGCATTTCTGATGCTCTCTCCCTCAAAGGCTTCCCCTGATCTAATTGTGAAATTCTACTTTTGGTTCTTCTTCTAACTCCTTTTGAATGTATACCAAGTTCTTCTCCGATTGTCGTTCTGATTACTTTTGTCTCTGATGAAGAAGGATCACGGATGTTCTTGTTCCCCGAAGAAACATTCAAGAAGGAGAATGCTCGTTCTTCTTTGCCTTTGCGTACAAAGTAAGACGCACTCCACTCTTGTACCTATTGTAACATAACATAAATATAATTACGTGATTAATAGTCATGCGCTCTGGATCTCTTCAACACAAGTAGTTACGCTTTTAAGATGAGATGATCAGAAACTTCAATAATACGTACCTTGATAGCTAAATTTGATTTAGAACTGTTACTTGTTGAAGAAGCTAATAAGCTGCTATCTTTCCCAGGAGTACTGCCTGCTAACGACTTTTGTCGATTAATCTCTTTGGATGAATCAGTAAGTCCTTTGTAATATGGACTTCTTGCAGAGTACCTCTTTTCTTCTTGAATTGCAGTTCTTTTGTTGAATTCATCGAGGTTATTACTCCTCGAGTTTTTTGAAGACGATGATCCTCTCTTTCTTTCCTCATCGACTTTTTTATGCCATGATGGTTTCAATGAGTCATCTGAATTTGTTGATCTGACATTTTGAGTTTCTGATATCCTGCAAGGAACAGATTTTGAACGCAGGATCGATGGATTTTTCGACATTATTGAAGAGCTGAGATTGAAACTTGCTGTTTTTTCTTTTTAGGATCAATTGAAAAGGACTATGGAAGTTAATGTTTGATGTGAATGAAAAAAAAAATAAGATTTGTTTCTACAGTAGGTCCATGGGCGATCATTCAGAGATGCTACGTTATTAACAATGTTTTCTTTCTTTTTTGATCATCAGTGTACACAGTGGCGGAGTCAGAATTTTCATTAAGAAGTAAACACATGAAGAAGCTAAAGACGATCAACATCTATTGTATATACACATAGAAAATAATTTTTAACCGTGTATATTGTTTATCGAAACCCCCTCGGCCTTTATAGTCCATGCAAAAACAGCTGACTAATTGAGGTTAATTTATGTGTAGTTTTTTAACTTTATTGTTTGGTTCCTTCCATTTCCAGGGGTGTTTGTGCTGTGTATCACATCTTCTAACACCAGTTTTAATGTCTATGTATCAACACTATAAAAGCATTTATTTATAATTTAGCAAAAACGTTATGGGGGTTGGATGAGGTGGGGAGTGGGGGTTCGAGGAAGTCAAAGGATGGGGGCGTTGAGTGGGTGGGAAGAAGACAAATGAATTTCACATGTTACTTATGAAACTTGTTTTTCCTACTATTATAAGGGTCAAGGGATTTCATTTTTCTAAAACTTGTTTTTCTAGAGAAAAATATTTTTCAAAACATTTTGACCGATCAAATATGAGAAAATTAGAAAACATTTTCCTCTGTACCAAACGCGCCACTATGTTTATTCTATATGTGATTATCTTCTAAAAAATAAGTCATGTTGATTAGCTTTGTCATTTTATATTAGGTTTTATCTATAATTATCTTATAGATAACTTAATTGTGTAATGCTCCACTGTTGAGTCACTTCAAGAATAAATCAATAACTCACCTTATGTTTTAGGAACCAAATGAGGAATCATACGTAGAGTAGTTTGAACATTCGCCTGCTCTACAAAGCCCCTTAAAGCTAGAGTTGAGATTGTTTGACGCTCTTCTCCTTTCGAGTGAATTGAATTACCGTTTATGTGAGATCTACTTGCCTTAGCAACTAAATTTCAAACCCTTACTATCAAATGTCTTAATGAAATAATTTTTTCACTAATTCATACGTAGTTTCCTTCACCTACGATGGGTATATATTTTACTTGTATTAAATGTAATTTAAGTAAACCAAGTAAAAAAATAAAATAAGGACGTCACTATTCCTATTAATGGATTTATGATGTAGACATCTTATCCTACAAACACAATTTTCAGCTTTTTACATAAATGAAAAAAGAAAAAGAACAGCTTTCCTCCATGCTATTAAATTGTTTTCTTTATAAAAAAAAGGAATATTTAAAAAAAATAAAAAAAATTACAAACAATAACCTTGTCAATGCAGTAGCTGTCAAAAGTTGATCAATTCTAACATATCACGACTCCAAATAATATTTAAATCATCATCTCATTCCAAACCTACCTTTTTATGTTTTCTGTCGGTTCAATATTTATATTGAGGTTCGACTACTATTAAATGTGAATTGTGACACATTCAAGAGGATTCTTTTTTCAATTTAGAGTTTCAAATTCAAAATCTCTAATTAAGAATGAAGGAATCTCAATCATCTCACTGCAATCCAAGTTGGATTAATTAAAAAAAAATAACAGCCTACTTAGTAAAACTTAATCGGTCAAAATTGTTACAAATATAACTCTTTAAATATTGACTATTGTATATCTCGAAGGGTACGTACGTGTGGTGAAACTTTGGGATTTCCACAATTATTATTTTTTAAAATGCTACTAATTACAAAGCTTGAACTCCCCATATTATATTATTCTTTTTTTTTCCCTGTATAATTAATTGCATTAAAAATACTTTTAATTAGTTTAATTATTTATGTCATTTTCCAAATGTGTACATAGCTGCCGCAGCGTATCACTTTGCGACTTACCTTTCAGATGAGATCATCTGTAATTATTCCCTACCTTGACAATTATCTTTCGGGACAACTTTTTTTTATTATTATCTCGAAAAACTTAACAACACTCGATGTTTGTATTAAAGTATTTTATTTTATGTGAAAGTATTTGACTGTTACGCTATGTTTAAGAAAGAAAACTAATACTAATTGGAATTTGTAATACTTAACTTATACCATGATGAGCTCGTCTTGATCACATGAGATCCAAATAATTAAGGCATATTAGAAATGAAGAAAAGAGGAGGAAAATATACAGGAGTATACAAGTTTATTCTTTTATTATACATATCTGTATATTTTTAACACACAAATGTTTTTGCTGAAGTCAGATTTATTTATTTTTTCGAAAAAGTCAAACTAGGAACTTTGATGCTTTGGAATTGGTTTCCCTTCTGGGATACACAATTGGTGAGACAATTTTTAAAAAAATCTATTAAGTCCATTATAATCCATCTATTCTCATTTAACACCTCTAGCTACCTTAAAATTAAAGTTGCTCTAATAATTATAAATGTCATTTTAGATTGTTGAATGAATTTTTAGTTATGCCACAAAATCTGGGGAGTTGTGCATAATGCAAGTAGATATATTTTTTCTTTTAGTAGACTAAATTTAATATCGTGCATACAACCAATTTCTAGAAGACGGAAAGAATGACGCTTCTAATAAGATTTTTTCCATTTTCATAATTAGCTGGAACATGAGAGCCCTGAGTAAGGACGTACTAAGAAAACCCAACCAAACTATTCTATCATAATCTATATGGATGAGTAGATATCTTTTCAATTGCAAGTATAATATAAATATTAACCATGCAGTAATTAATACTAGATCTTTTCAGTGTAAGTAATCACAAAATAAATTAAAATTGTCATATTTTAGTCGAATTAGTTTTCAACAAATCAGAGAAATATGGTTATACCTTTCATCATTGTATTACAAAAGTAGAAATTATATAAATTAAAGAAAGTCTATATTTCAAGACCAAACTAGACCTCCAACTTAATTAATTTCTGCATGTTTCTTGTCCAAAACCTCAATAACCTTGTTAGCTACTACACTTGCATACACTGTACAACCTTCACAAATCTGCATAAAATTGTCAAATAATACTTAATTTTAAACACATACATATGATAAAATCACAAGTATTTGACATCATGAAACCAAAAATATATATTAGTTAGTCCCTCCGTTTCAATTTGTTAATCTATTGTACTTTTCTTTTTAATCCATTTTAAAAAGAATATTGATCTGTTTCCCTTTTTGGCAACTCTATATTCCAGTTATCCCACACAACATATTTAAGACCACTCTTGATACATTCTACATATCTTTAGTTTTCGATTAAACTCAGTGTCAAGTCAATATCAGACAAACAAACTGAAACGGAAGGAGTAATGTAAATAGTGTAGAGAAAGGGGGATAATGAAGCACCTTGGAGTTTAAGAGGTAGCTATAGTGATCTCCAATCAACCCACCAGCAACATGTTTGAGATCCAGCTGAAGCTCATCAAGTGTTTTTGATACCAATAGAAGGCAATTCACTCCCTTCAGTATTTGCTTCTGTTGAACAAGTTTAACAATCACTTCATCTTCCATAATTCTCACATCAATTTCAGTACTAGTATTCTTGGAAGATTTTATTTGATGATGCCAATTAGTAGATTTGTTCATCATCACTTGTTGATCATCTTGATTAGCTTCCATGATCACTGCATCATCTTCTTCTACCATTGATCTTTGCCTTTTGATTCTCTCTTTCTTTAAATCTACTTGAATCATTAACTCATTTACTCTCATTTTCAGCTCATGTATGTAGCCAATAGCATCCGCGATAATTGTTGCTCTATCATTCTGCTATTCACAAAATTAAATTATGTCAATTCTTTTTTCGGAAGCAGTCTCTCTACCTCCCCAGACCTCATTGTGTAGGATTACATTGTGTATGCTGTTTTAATCCCAATGCAAGTTAACCCTTTTTTTAAGTCCAATATTTTGTTAGAACAACAATTGATGCTACTTCATTCTTGAACTTCCAAAATCATGTAGATTGATTGCATAATAAAACTTATAGCTCATATTTTTCCTAATCGAACAAGTTCATTTTCTTTTGATTCCACAAGAATGTAAGAACAACATAGACAAGATAAAAGCATACAAAATTCACAAAAAAATGAAATTTACCAACAAAAGGATTTGGTGCTAAAAGGCTCATTGGTACTACAACAACAAAAAACCCAATGAAATTCCGCAAAGTGGGGTCTGGGGAGGGCATATATAGTGTATGCAGACTTCTGTTTTCGACAGACTCTCAGCTCTCATTGGTACAACTAGTAGTAATATTTACTTAGGGACATGTTTTCAACAAAACTAAACATGAAATATTTAAGGACTATTAAATACTTACATACCTTTGAGGGATTTGGGATTAAAGTCCTCAATGCTTGAAACTTGTCACTAAAATGAACTCTCCTTTGTTTCTCAGAAGCATGATGTTTGATTTCTTTACCTAATTCCCTCTTTTTAATAGCTGCAGAATTGATCATCATATCTCCACTTAACTCGTGAAAACTCCCATCATGGTACAAATTACCTGTTACCTCTTCCTGATCATGACCATGGCTAAACAAAGAACCCGTCCCGGAGCTTCCTAATCCATAGGAGGATCCATGTGGAGAAAGATGAAACAACTCTTTGAACAAACTAGATTGTGGGGTACAAAGATTTAAAGGCATATTCAATTGTGGGGGTTCATAAAAAAGATTAGTTGAAGTTGCCAAAAGGCCTAATGATGATGATGGAGTAGTAGTACTCAAGAAATTTGATGGATTAGAAATGGGGTAACTAAGTTGTTGATTGTTGTAAGGATTAAAACTAATTTCTTCCCAATTTTGATGAAACCTTGTGTTATTGGGGTCATGCCCAAATTCTAATTGCATATTCAAGTTCATGTTTTCACTAGAATGCAACTGTTGCTGCTGCAGCTCCACTAATCCAGATGTTGCAATATGA